GCAACTTCCCCTACACTGATAATCCAGCAAGCCTTCAGCCATGATTAAGACCACTCCTCTCCAAAGGAGATTGTTTTTTTTTTTGTCTCCTCGAATAAGCTCAACTTCAAGTTGAAAAACTAGTTTTGATAAGAAAGTTAAAACGTTTCAAGATGAAACTGTCAAAATGAAATCTTTCAATTTCCTGGATTGTTTATTAAAATCTCAAAGTATTTTGGTATGTTTAAAATCCACCCACTCCCTGTCCTTGGACAAGGGAAGGGAAAAGAGAAGGAGCAAAATGATTCCCAGTCCTTCCTCACTGATAAAAAGTACCTTTTTTTCCCCCAGTATATTTACTATTCAACAAAGAACACCTTCCACCTTTACTGGGAACATCCTTGCAAATGTGTTCACAAACTATCATTTCTTCACTCCAAACCTTTAAAAAAAATCCCTTTGGAACATTTTCACTACAGTTCCTATTAAAGAATTGGGATTGATGTTAAACACAGTAAGGAAATTAAAATTCAGGTTTTTTTGCTGAGAGCGAGAGTCTGATTTCACAGAAGCACTAGAGGCTGAACTCATGCCAATAGCACCTGACCAAGTGCACGACTGGTCACTCCTCAGATTGCCGTGAGACCCAGTTAGGAAATTAGCCTCTTAGACCTGGACCAAACCAGGTCCTTCAGCCAGGGACCTCTTTGCCAGAGCACGAATCCTGTATCTCATGTGTCTTTGAGCGGCCAGAACTCATCATCCACCTGTCTGTCAGTCGGGTCTGGTCCTGATACTGCCAGATGTAACTTACACCTGACATCCCAGCATGATTTAAACTCATGCTTTCCCCAAACTCTGCTAATTTTGCAAACAACTTGGTTTGCAAGCCAGCTTTTAAGAAGGCATGTGAAAGAGGTGAAAAAACAGATGTTGCTGCTTTTATTTCAAGGATGAAACACAATAAGTTAAAGGGAGATGCCTTACAGGGATATGTGCTCAAGCCCATGAAACACAAAACATTCATAAATGATCTGCAAAAAAGGGTGAATATGGAAGTGAACAAGTCAGCTGGCAATACTCTTGTTTTTACAGCCCCAAGTACCTTGACAGCAATGAAACACTAGAAGAAACTTACCATACAAAGCAACCACGTAATACAAACGCCAAGGAAATACAAAGTTAAACAAAAAACAAAACCCCCACACAACTGAATAGCACTGTGAAAATTTCCAAAGTATCTCAAAATTTCAGTAGTAGTCAAAAAAATTACTAAGAAAGGAACAGAAAACAAAAGAAAGTATCACAGGGCACCTGGATATATACATATACAACGCAGCACTTTTGTGCAGTTCCAGTTTGCCCTGAACTTGAACTAGAAGGGATAAAAGGAAAGGCGAAAGGTATGAAACAACTTCTATGTAGGAGATGACAAGATAGATCAGAATGCCTCAGCCCGCCTGGAAGACGATGACTGAGGTTATGACAGACACGTATACAATGGCAGGTGACACTGAGAAAGCAAGTAGGAAATCACTGCATACCATCTCTTCCAACACAAGAATCAAGGTTAACAAGTGAAACTGGTAATATCCGAAGAGATGGTTCCTCAGTGTAATTATGCAACAGATGAAGTGACAACTGCCACAGGAATTAGATGCTAAAGACTTATGTAAACTAGAAAGTGTGGGGAAAAAGTTCCCTCCTCAAAAAAAAAAAAAAAGAGAAGTTACCAAAAGCTGTTAATACACACAAAGTTTTCACTCCTGGCTGGGGAAGTCCTGAGCTACAAATCTCTGGGGGGCTTGAAGCAGAACTTCCCTGGTACATGCTAAGTCTTGAACTGTTCTTTAACCTGTCTTAGGTATCATCCACTGCCAGAGAGCGCTGATACAGGGCCAAAAGGGTTTGTTTTGATGGGACAGTATTCAGGGCATTTTGATACCTATGTTTTTATGTTATCAGAAAAACAAAATTCAAAAATACTCAGTCTTGTCACTTTTCCTATACATGTGCAACCAAAAGATCACTTTCATTAGAAGACCTACTGCTGTCCGGCTAATGCTATGACTTTGGGAAGTTCCCCCTACCTTGGCAAAGGAAGGCAAAAGATATCAGAAAATGGAAAAGGCTGCACATCAGGAATGGAACTGTCAGCTTGGCAGAGGTGTCCTGGCATCGCTCAGCATTCATAAGCTGCAGACAAGGACATCTCAGATCATCACACACGATGCTCCATCACAGTTGTTGGGTGGCTGTAGAGAAATAGGTTGTTTAGAGGTTGTCCTTCTCAGTTGGCTTTTGAGAAAAGCTGTTGCAGAGCTAATTTTTAATAGTAACCTCCACTAACAGAAAGCTAGAAGTAGCCCGGCTATTTTTTCCTGGAAGAGGGAGAGGGGATGTGGACTGGACTGCTCGACAACTGTGTATGAAGCATCTATGGCACAATTGGAAAGTGGTTCTTACCTCAGATAATATTTTTTCTGCTCTTTCTGAGTGTCTGGCACACTAGAAATGAGATACAGATATGAATTTATTTGTCTGACAAAGAAAGCTTGTAATATAACTTATCACTTCAGGTCACAAGGGCATTACACCTGCTCTGATTTCCTTAAGGAATTTCAGAATATGTTGGCTAGAGAATATGACAAAGTAGCTACATTAGTGAAAAACATTCTTTTTCTTCCCAAGTAAGACTTCTCTTATGAAGCCTTCCCAGTAGGAAATTTGGAAAACTGACAGAGGGTTGCTGGTTGGATTTTACTGTTGATAACACATATGTTGTCATGTTATGTCCTAAACCGAAAACCAAAGCACCCTTTTAAAATTCTCAGCACTGCTGATGCTTCCAACAAGTACTTCTGTATTGGTTTTGGTCTTATCTATTTCTAACAGACAGCCTCATGCCTTGGAAATTTGACCTGAAATAAAAATTCAGCCGCAAGTATCTGCTGTCAATTGTGCAGAAAATAGGAGATGACAGCAAAGTCACTTCTGCATGCTGAATTAGATCTCTTTCCAACATCTTCTAATGTCATTATTAGCACTCAAATACACTGTGTCAAAATGTGTCTGTACAGGGAGACGGACCAGGCAACATCAAATTTATCTCTTAGTTGATATGACAAGCTGTTTTTGATTCAAACCTCTGAGTAGAGAGAGGCTCTTAAGAAAAAGTATCTACTCCATCACGAAGGTTTGTTTGTGAATGTGGATATTATAATGGGTGGAAACAGTTAAGAAAAAACTGTATTATGCAATTTCATTGAATTGTTGGAATCGATAGTGCAACGTAAGCTGTTAAAACTTTATTTTGAGCCTTAGTGCCTACACTCCAAGTAGTCAACATTGCAATGTGAAGAATTTCAACAAGATCATCTGCAAGATGACTACTCTTTGCTTTGGAGCTAGCCTTAACAGCGGCCACTAATTCTAAGGCAACCACCTAAGTAGGGATCTAAGCGTACCATACAGTTTTATAACAATTTTCAGAAGAGAATAGCATTTGAAAAGATTAAATTCTTTGTTCAGTTTTCTTTCCTTCTGTCAAAACGTAACCAGATAAGAAGTGAAAAACCATACACAAAAGACATCTAACTACTGACCGAGAGCAATTCCTGGGAAGTCAGCAATGTAGCACTGAGAAGGAAGAGTATACCACCTAAATACAGTGTCAGTGCCTAATAAATAGCAGAAACTACAGCAGCCATTACTGCTCTACTCCCTGCATCCGTATGGCAGAGTTCAGGAGGTTACGAGAAGAAATGAAATAAACTACAATGAAAAAAGTATGGATTCTTATATACATGGAGCTATTAACTAACCTAAAGAGAAAAAGGCTATTTAATTCCATTTATGAATGATATCAATAAACTTCTAGTTTAAGTAGCAAGACTCTTCCTGCTATTTCATCCTTTTATAGCCTCTTGGTATCCATTGCATTCAACTAAAGAGCAGGCAATTATTACTGGGTAGTAACAACAGAATTTTGTCCCATCTCATTAAATTAGATACATATATTAGATATGAATTAGATAGCTACCAAAAATGCCATGTATGAATGTTTAAATATTTGGGGGTTTGTTCTCATTGAGTACCTGAAGTGGCTCTAAGCCATTTACATTAATCATCCACAGGAGAAGGGGTCATGCTCTGCTTTTTGTTGTGGGCTCACAGAGCTATAACTACCATGTGTGTGTCCTGAAAATATTCAGGGGAAAAAAAACAAAACAAAACTGAGTACAACTCTTCCACCCCATAGTGCAATTTCTTCCTGTACAACAAGAAGCCTGGGCAAATCTTAAGACTCTAATTTATTAATTTGCAATAACACAGGAAGTTAACCATGACTGAGGGGTAACTTAAAGCAAAGACTAAATATCTATCTTACCAAGAGTGAATTGGCTAAGTTAACTGTAAATATTTTTAAAATGGAATTCAGTATACAACTAACTTTAGCAGAGACTTTATTTCATTAACAGAAAATTGTTATAGAGACATACTTTCTCACCCTGTAAAATGATACTCCTTAACAGAAAAGCATCTTGACATTTCTGTTCTGTATATACAAAGTATATACATTACACATCCATTTGTGTTGGCAACAGCCAGGTGACCTCTCATCTCCTCAGCTCACTGCCAAATTAAGAATGAGCCAAAGGCCAAGGGATCAACAAGCAGGAGACCGGTGGGAGAAAAGACTGATACACTGATGTTATCTCATAACCTTTCCCCATCTACTTTTTTTCTGCATTGCCTGTATATAAGCAACTGTATGCTTGAATGCTGCTTCCAGCATTTGAAGTTTTGTCTGTTTGCCCATTTCTATGAAGAGAGCAAAGCCCCAACAGTTTGCATGAAGGTCCGGGGAGACGGAGGCACAGTCGATCTCCCCAGGCTCTCCCAATCTCCTCTCTAAAGCTGATCTGGGAAAGCTGGCACCGTTTGTGATCTCAACACAGGAAGACAAAGTTAACGAGTTACTGCCTCAACTCAGCAGCCTAGAAAAGATCAGTCTTCAAATCAAACATAATTCAAGGGTTAAAAAAAAATAGCATAAGGAGTCTTGCAGACTTTTCAGGATAATCAGTTAAGCCTGAGTTAGAGGAACAAGCTAGTATTATTGTCTTGCTCCAAATCTTCATCCATCAGCTGACACATCTCACATGACATGACACTGCAGGCTGACATTCCCCCAACACACACACGAAAAAATCAACGATTTTGAAAATAAACTGTAAGAAGTTGGTGGTACAAGCAAGGTCACTGCTATAGTGAAAGATGAACACAAGAAAACAAGTATAATTTGTAAAGTAGCTCTTTCCAATGATTGAGCAGGGACCAGGCACTATTCACAACTATAATGACATGAGATCATTCTTCAGAAGGAAGTGATAAATAGCTTCTTGAAGGGCACTCTTGCATTTGGGAAGGTGAATTGGCAAAAATCACTGAGCTGATATGTAGTCCAGAGTGTTTCTTGTAAGCTTTTCCCCCCTCTCTCTGCAGAGAGGAGCTTGAGCACCCTCATGCCCGATCAGCAGCTCCCACCCAGGAATCACAGGGGAGCAGAGCCAGGGGTTTAGGCAACTGCTCCACTTTGGTCTGCTCTCAAGGGGTGGAAGAGATCTTTCTACCAGATAGGCAAGTATGGTGAAATTCTTTTCTTCCTTAAAGGATTTTACAGTCTGGGTGGGGGAATACTTGTGAATTCAATTCTAGCAGGGATGACACTGCAGGAGCGATGTTCAGTGTCAGTCCTGGAGAGCTGCCCCAAAGAACCAAATTTGTAAATATGAGAGAAAACTTTATCAGATACTTCTCAAATAAAGAGATAGCCAAATTACTTCACATTCCTACTTTTCTCCTATGTATTGCTCAATGGAAGCTAGGACCAGAAAAACCTAAAAGTTTAGATCATACTAGTTTAAACATATTAATCATTTCCTGAAAGGGAATTGTGTTGTCAGGGCAACACAATTAACCAAAGAAATCAGCTGCAAATGATTGTTTCTCAGAATGAGTTTTTGAACCAGGAGTTAGATGAAACAGCCACCTTTTTCTCTTCCCTGTAAGTTAATGGCAATAACAATAGGTAACAGGGGAGAATTACGGAAGCAAAGAATCAGGTAACTAAGACTGATGAAACATCAAAAGTATTCATTGGTTCAGATTTAGAGAAGATTACATGAGAAGTCCCAACTGATAGTAATAGTGCTCAGATAAATAAGGTGTCTAACATCAGGCAGAAGCGCCAGCACCCTCCAGCCCGGGCAGAACTGGGCAGCTTGGGTGGCAACATGGCCCAAAGGTGGAAATACAACATGTGATAAAATCGACGAACTACCAGGGACGCAATACTCTACTAATATTTACCAAACGTGGCTCTACAAAGCATTTTTAAAGATTAGGCTTGGTCTGCAAACAATTGCCACAACCTTAGGCGAAGCTATCCTATAGGCAGCTTTGCAGTCACAAGGATCCTTAGTGGTAGTCTGTGGACCGAAAGTTATCAATTGGATAAACCGTAGTCACCAACGTTGCTGCTTTTGCTATAGCCTATCTGCAGACCCAATGACATAGCAAAAAAGCATGAGAAGAAGCCATCCCATGCCCTCCCCTCGTCTTCATCAAAATTCACTTTATGATCAGATCTCCTAGTAAAATGGGAAAGAGGTGTGAGAGAGAGAGAGAGAGAGAGAAAGACAGAAAGAAGTAGGAGGAAAAGATGTGAATTATCTAATATTTCTAAAAGAAGGATCAAGTTTGTCTTGTCATGTAAGTAACGATGTCAAAATTACCCATGTGAGGATCAGGTACATACAATACAGCACTTTAGCTCATACAGACCTCTGATTTAATAAACTCAGCAATTAAAAACCAATTCAAGTGAAACAGAAGATATGTGTATGCTTCCCTCAGTCGAGCAGGATCGCAAAGTTTCTCATTCAAGGAATATAACAAATTTCCCAAATGTGATCTCCTAAGGCACAAAGGAACCTGTCCTGCCTATGCCATAATATGTGAGCAAACATGTTTATGGATAAATATTGATTAAACTTTTTTTTGGCATTCTTCACACTATAGAAAAGCATGAAAACAGTCACTAAAATTAGAGAAATCACTTTTTTTTGCTTGTTTAAATAAAACATCAAAATATAACAGAACACTTTTCAGATCAATAAGTTTAATTGATGAAGACAAATACTAACATATGGTAATGCTTGGACTCCCATATATTGAAGGCCTTCTTTCA